TTCCCCTCCCCACCTCCAATTCTCCCCACCTCGGGGTGGAGACTCCCAGCCCCAAAGTTCCGAGGAGGGGAGGAGAGTCTGGGGAAGAGCGCGTCGTAGATGCCCCCATTGCTTGAGTGCGAAAACACACCCACTCACACTCGCATCGAGCCTTGCACACCCCAGCAAGCAGTCTGCCTCTGTTCCCCGGTCAGAAACTGACCGGGAAAGCGGGTTGGGGCTGTTGGGAAAAGCTGGAGCTGATGGCGAGATTGCCGCGGCTATAAATCCATCACTTCCCAGGTCAGCTCTGCGAGGCGCTGGGACTAGAGCTGGCGGAGTGAATTCCTGGGCTAGCGCGCATGCGTCGGCAGGTAGCAACCCAGCTCTTTATGACCAGGTGAGATGTTGGTGAGCAGGTAAAAAAGGAGGATTTGTCTAAGCGATTCCAGGGAGCGGGCCCGGCCGAGCCCTACAGCCCATGCCCGGCGGGGATCCATCGCCTGGAGCGCCGAGCCGCGATGTCCATACTTGCCAAAATGGGGGACTGGCAGGTACGGGGGTTTGCCTTGGCTGGGGCTGATGTGGGCGGGGGTGGAGGGGGGGGGGGGGGGCCGGGGGGGGGGAGGCGGAGAGGAAGAGCCTTGGCCCTGGGCAGGAGAGTCGTAAGCGAGGCGCGCCTGGCAGCGCCCAGGAGAGTTCCCAGGAGAGAAAGGGCAGAAAAAACAGGCGCTGCCGGCGGGTCCGGAGCGGAGGAAAGTCCGGCACACGCTCCACAGGTGGCCCCGGGGGTCACCTGTGGTGTGCGCTGAGGCCTTTCACGCCCCCCCTCCTCACCCGGTGGAAACAAGGGAGGATGACTAATTCGAGAGGGGGAAGGGCGCGGGGCGGGGGTTGCAGTGCGTGGTAAGGAAGGTTCACTACTCTGTACGCCTTCGTTCTTGCCCTAGACCCCAGGGCGACGCATGAGGTGGGGTTCTGGTGCACCTGTCTCTCTTTCTGTCTCCAATTTGGGGGGCCTAGTGGGTGTGGAGAATGGAAAGGGGTCCGGATGGACGGGGCGCGCCCGCGAGAATGTTCTTTGGGGGAAATACTTAAAAGAGTTTGCACAAAGTTTAGCCTCTCTCTCGGTCCGAGTTGTGAAGCCAGTTTCCGCCTCTTGGGCTACAGACTGGGGTGACTGGATAAGGGGTGAATGGTGGGTGATAAGGGAGGTCCAAAATTTGCAGAAACCGAAGTCTGCCAAACTCCGCCGGCTAGGCCTCGGATACCTCAAGGCCAAATGGGCCCTTGATCCTGCTCTTCTTGAGTCCTGACCCAACCCGGGCCACAGGAGCATTCTTCCGGCTCTCTCCTAACTTCCAGACATTTCCCCTGTGGAAACCAAGGCAGCTCTGCACAAGCTGGTGAGGGTAGCAGACTCTCTCCTCTTTCCCCGATTTCATCATGGGAACCGTGGGGCCCTATTCCCCTCCCTCCACCTCCCACCGAACCTCCTGGCCAAGGGAGGCCTGGTTAGGGCAAGATTCTGTGCGCCTAAAAGGCTGCAGGGTAATTTGAACCGAAGGTGGGGAACTTCCCAGAGAGAAGTCAAGGCTCTGCCCTTTTCAGGGGTGAGTTCTTTTTCTTTTTTCAGATTCATGCCATTAGAAATAAAGTTCAGAGAAGTCTCGTCTTTTCTATATTCTCTGGAGTTGGGGAAAGGAAATAGTCCTGCAATTTTTACTTCTCTCCTTCTATTTATTATTTTTATTAACCCTGAGCTCTTTTATACCTCTCCTCCCAATTAAACCTCACAAAAATGCAATTTCATCTCCCAAATTAGACTGACTTTGTGGTTTAAGGATGCAAGACCCACACCAAACACAAACGTTGGGAATCCACACCTTTCCCTTCCTTGCCCCAGTGGGCCTCAGGGTCCTTCTTCCTTCTTTTCTATGGAGGGTGTAGACCGGGGGAGGTCTTGGGCTGAGGTCCTTGCAGTTTTCTCCACAAACCCGGTGGACCTCCCAGCCAAACTCCTCGGGTCTGAGAAGGCACCAGTAGCTCAGGATCATCCTGGGTCTGAGCCTCCAGAGGGCCTACCATTCGGGTGCAGTGAGAATATGGCCCAAAGGGGAAAGGAGTGAACCCTGGGCCTGGCTCCTGCGGGCTCACAGTTTGGCAAGTGGTGGGAAGCCTGCCTCTCGGGTGGGGCACGTGGATTTGGGGCCTGGAGGGGCTGGATCCTTCAGGCTTGGCCTTTTGGGCCCTCGGGTCCCACTGAGTGGTGAGGACTAGAGAAGAGTCATTCAGACCCCTTGCTGTCTCTTTGTTTCTGCCAGTGTCTCTCCTCACACTGATACTCATTTTTCCCTCCAATGGCCTCTTCATGCCCCCACTTCAGGCCTGGACCCCCCACCTCTGGCCCCAGGCCTGGCGCTATTGCCCTGGGGTGCTGGTGGGGACAGAGCATTGACATGCAATGAAGAGACTTGTCGTGGTAATGACGTTCCCACAAACGCGGCTCCGCTGGCTCCAGGATCTACTGGGGCGCTCGCCTGGGCCTTTCTTCAAGGCCCAGAACTCCGGCGGTGGCGCAGAGCCCATAGGCCCTGATCTGCACCTCAAAGGCACCCTCGGCGGGAATACAACAACAGTTTAGCAAGCCCTAGAGGGTGCGGAGCCAGAAATCTGCAGGGCGCTGGTCAGCAAGGGGGAGATGGGTGGAGAAGATAAAGGGCCTTGAATGCCTTCCCCAGCCCACAATCTGAAAGAAAGTGAAACTTGGAAGTTTCCTTAAGCACAGTGCGGCGACGTCCGAGGGTGTAAAAATCCCACGCTCCTAGGCCTAGGATTTGGCCTACAGCTCATGCTCTGAGGCTGTGTCCGCTGGCTGGGAAGGTGTAAATGCTTGCGGCGGCCCACCTCCCAACTTCAAGCCACTGCGTTGGGCGGCGGGCCCTGGGGCAGCCCCTCAGGGTGAGTGGTGCGAGTGCTGGAAGTTAACCGTTTTCCGGGTGGAGCGTGGCGCTTAACCTCGGGCTGTGTTCAGCCAGAGAACTGTGATAGTGTGCAGGTGGGGAAAAGGAGTGCAGGGCAGGGCCGGGGGAGGGTGTCCCTCATGCTCTAAATCCCCCTTCCAGCTTGAGCCATTTCTCTAACTTTTGGGAGGGCCTCTGGCCTACTCTGCCTGGCTTGGGGAATTTGCAGCAGCCATCCGGAAGGAGAAATTGCCCTCAGCAAAAGGGGGAGGGGAGAGGGAGGTGGTCCTCCCTCCTCTTGCCTTCCTTCCACCTGTTAAGAAAATCTTGGATTTGCAACACCCTTTACCCCCCCGCAAGGACACACTTTGGAGACCTGGGAGGCCTGGAGATTTGCAAAAGACAGGCCTAGATGGAATCAGAAGTCGTTCCTAGAGCAACTCTGAGGCAGACCTACTGTTGGTGAATTTGCAGTATTCAAGAGAGAGAAAGACACACAAAAACTTTTTTATGGAGGACAAATGAGAAGTTTGACCAGAAAAATTAATTACTCTGTATTTCAAAGGATTACATCACGTCTTTCTTTTTAATTTCTTCTTTAAAACAATTCGCCAAAACAGAAGGAAAACATCTATAAAGCCCCGCTGGGGCGAGCCGGTCCCTGTGTGGAGCCGGGAAAGCCTGGACTGGCCAACCTGGACCAGGGGGTGGCCCCGGGGCCTCGGGGTTCCGCGTCAGCCGGGCACTGCGCCGCAAGCGCGCCCGCTTTAGTAACATCACCAAATCATGAAGGAACTCTCCCTGCTTTAATTAAAAAGGGGGATCTTGGGAAAACTGGAGCAGATTAGCACAGCGAAGAGTTGGTTCCCAGCGACTTATTTTGATGCATGCATGACACGAAGCACACATGTCGGTATTTCCGCACAACTCCAGGAGCGGCTGTGAGTCTCCGTAGGAGTTCTGTATTTTGTCCACATTGCACCTACGAAACCCTTAGCCCCAACACCACGTTGAATTATCAGTCAGCCCTAGCTTCATACAAATGAGAGGAAAATCATTTAACCCCTGGAGCTGTCAACTAACCTCTTCGGGGTACAATTTTTATTTTACACGCGGCAATTAAAGGATCGCAAACCCCAGCCGAGCGACTGGAGCTGTTTGGCAAAATTCTCAACCTGGGGGTGGGGTGGGGGGATGGAGGGGGTAAGCGCAAAGCCAATAAAACTCCCAGGGCGCTGCGGCCCGAGGTGGTGGCTGCCGCGAGCGGAGGCGATCTCTTGTTGGGCAGAAATCCTGGAGTGACTTTGCCGGTCTTGGTTTGATGATTATAGTTAATTGCGAAAGGGATAATAATTTCTAATAAAATTGGACGGGGCCGAAAGGACAGCGCGGTTAGCGCAGGCAGGGGTGAGGGAGAGGTGGTGAAAGCCGAGCCCCAGGCGCCGCCGCTTGGACCCTGCACGGTGCCGGGTTTTTGCGGAAGGCTTCTCCCTCGAGAAGGAGACAGAGAGGAGGAGGAGAGGGGCGGAATGGCGCGGCGGCGGCGACCGGAGGTGGCTGGGACCGGGGCGCGCGGCTGGTCTCAGGGGAGATTCCTCGGCTCACAGGCAGGCGTGCGCTCTAGAAGCAAGTTCGCCGCTCCGAGAGGCCTTTATACCTGGGTCGGAGCGGCCGGCCGCAGATTGCGGTGCTGGCGAGCAATTGGACTATTGTTGATATGCTAATGAGGCGATTAGGCTGTTGGTAAAGAACTGGAAAAGGGAAAAGTTTCTACCATTAGAGGGAGATCTCCGAGCGCACACGGGAGCTCTTTCCCTTCTCGCCTCCTCCCTCCTCCTCACCCTCCTCCTCCTCGCCCTCCTCCTCCTCCTTTTTGCCCTCCTCCTCCTCCTCCTCGCCCTCGCCCTCCTCCTCCTCCTCCTCCTCCTCCTCCTCGACCTCCTCCTCCTCCTCCTGCGCTCACCGCCGGCAGCCGACACTTTGCGCTTACCCAGAGAGTAGCTCCACTTGGGTGCGAGGCGGAGAAGGGGGCAAATCCGTTCACGCCGATCCATGAAAATGCTTTGGAAACTGACGGATAATATCAAGTACGAGGACTGCGAGGTAAGCGCGGCGTTGGTTATCCTTGCGGCCACAGGCTCCGAGCTCTACCTTCCCGCTCCTCCTCCTTTCCTCGCAGCCAGCTGCGAAATGCGGGTGGGACAAACTTTCCCCAACGCAGCGCCCGCCTCTCCAATTCGCCCGAAGAACTCAAGGGAGAAGCTGGAGAGGAAGGATGTGGACGCTGTCTTCTTTCATTTTCCTCCTTGGAAGCTCGTGTCCCACTTTCCCCCCTTCTATTTTCCGGCCAGCTTTGGGACTGCTTAAGAGTGGAAAGAGGAGTCTGGGTTTTTGAGGCAGTTGCTGGCAATTGGGCATGCGTCTGTGCACCCTGCGTGTGTCTTGAGCGAGATTCTGGGAGCCCGAGTCACCAGGAAGAGAAAGGAAAGAGAAAAACCCATTTCCCTCCTAAGTCCTCTCGGATCTTTCATATTCCTTCTTTTATTTATTCATTTTTTCCCCTTCCTTCCTATCTTCCCCTCCCCCTTTCTAAAAAAGAAGGGTCTTTTCTGTTTGGAGAAGGCGCCCGCACACTTCGCTCAGAGCTATGTTGCACCTCCCAGTTATCGGGTTCAGTCTGGAAGCGCCCCTCTCCCAAATTGCTGCGGGGCTCGCTCTGGGTATCTGTATTACTGAAGAAGTTCTAAGCACCTTCTCCCTTTGAGGGATACTTTGAGAGCATCCCTGGGGCGGAGGTGGGAGGGCTGCACCGCGTGGAGCCGCCTAGTTGCCGGGTCCTCAAGCTGCGGGCCCTGAAGCCGCCGGGCGGTCGGCTGAGTGACCGTGGGAATCCTGGCCCGGCTGCACACGACCTCCGGTGCGCGGAGCCCGCGGCGCCGGTGGAACGCGCCTCTTTGGAGCCCATTTTAAAACCCAGGGTCTCCGGAGCTCGGCGTCTTAGGGCAGCCGGGGAAGCCCCAGCACCACTGGCCCGCCCGCGGGAGGCGCTGGGAACCGGCCTGGCTGCTGCAGCCCCGAACTCCTTCACAACCCCGGCTGAAACAAGCGGAGGAGTCACAGGAGGGGGAGGGGGCCGAGGCCGATGATTACCTAAATAGGTGGTAGTCCCGGCTTTCGATATTTTTTTCTTCTCTGTTCCTTTCTTTCTCTTTGGCATTTGGAGCTGGAAATGTCTGGAGCAGAGGTCTGTGCGGGCGCAGCAGCGTGGGTCTCGTCTTCACTTGAAATCAGAACCCGGGTTTGTGTGAACGGTCTGTCACTGGTTCCCTTCCCCCTCTCCTCCCCGTCGACTATTTTAAAATCTTTCTCCTTTCCCGGGCTCTTCCTTTTCGCCTTCCCCTCACCCCTTGGGGCACAGGGTGACATCCCGCGGGGACGGGCTCTTCTCTGGGGGCTCCTGCTGTGCGCCGTGCGGGGCGCAGAGACCCCAGGGCACACTAGCCGCTTTGTTTTCAGGCCCGTGGCGGGGTGGGGGGGGGAGGGCGGGGAGCGGGGGTGCTCTGCGAACTGGTCCGAGTTAGCTCCTCAGTCTCCGCAGGTGAATTGTCGCCGCTAGGGCTGTGGCCCAAGGCTCGAGCATTTCACCTTCGCGGAGGCCGAACCCCAGCTCTGGGTGCCAAGCCCTCGGCGTGCGGGGTTGGAACCTCTGCACGGCGGTGGGCGCCTATGAGACCTAGGTGGGAGGCAAAGAACTTGAGGGACCCTGTGGGGGCGCGTGTGAATGTGTGTGTAAGTGAGGCAACGAGAGAGAGAGAGAGAGAGAGAGAGAGAGAACACAGTGAGGGCTGTTTCAACAACTTTGACTGCGGTGGGCGAGCGCCGGAGCAGGGATTTCGGGTTTCCGAGCCGGCTCAGGGCTGTCTAATTATGTCGGGGCTCTGCAGGGACACGCAGGAGGCGAGGTGCCGCTTGTTCTGACAACCCAGCGGGCGGACTGGCAGCGACGGCAGCCTTGCCGCGCTGGGAGAGAGCGAGCCGTGTCAGCGGATGGGGGGGGTGGGTGTTGGGCGGGAGTGGCCCAGCCAGTCGGACGGGTTTGCGCCGGGAGCCGGGAGCCCGTGCCAGCGGCGCCCGGGCTGGGCCGCTTAGCGTCTCTGCGCGCCCCGGACCGCGTCCCGGCTCTCCCTCTCCGAGCCCCTGCCGCGAGAGCTGAGGGCGGGGCGGCAGCTGCCGCAGAGCGAACGGCCCGGGCTGTCCGAGGGAAGCTTGAGCGGCGGCCGAGGCGAGGGCCAGTGAAGCGGGCGGGCTGGCGGGTCCCGGGCGGGGCGCCGGGCCATGGAAGAGCGGCGCGGAGGCGGGCAGCCGAATCCCGAGTCCCAGGCCCGGCTGCGGAGCGGAGGAGTCCGCGGCCGGAGAGGGCCGGGCAGCACCTCCCGCGCGGAGAGCCCGATGAATGCTCGGACGCGGTCCCCGGCAGCTCCTGCCCGCGACGCGCGGCCCCCACGGTATCCCGAGGTCTGCCCCAGCCTTTTAGGTCTGATTGTCCTCGCTCGCTTCCTCTCCCCCTCCCCCTCCCCCTCGGCCTCCCCCTCCGTGCGCTCCGGCTCGGCCCCCTCCCCCTCCTTCCCTCCCTCCCTCTTTCCCTCCCTTCCTCCTCTCGGGCTCTCCCTCCTTCCCTCCCTCCCCGCTCCCCACTCTGGGCTCCACTCTCTCACCCACACTTTCTTTCTCACACACGCACGCAGACACATTCTCCCTCTCTGCGCTCTCTCCCTCGGTTTCCCTCGCTCCCTCTTTCTCTTTCACTTTTGCATGCCCTGCAACCTTTTAAAATGTTGCCCCTTCCCTGTGATTCGCCAGACGCCGCGCCGCGGCCCCCCGCGCGCTCGCCCGCTCCCTCTCTCGCCCGCTTTTTGTCTCTCGCGCTCCCTCTCCCCACCTCCGATTTGCTACACTGAGGCTCCCGTCAATGGACTGCATTGAGAGCCGGCTCCGGCGCGAGTTGCCTCTCCGCTTCACGCTCGATTTCCAGGCATTCTTCCCTTATTAAGTATTCGTGTAATATTAATAGTCATGAATATCTGCTATTAGGAGGCTCCAGGAACGCTGCCCAGCGCGGTTATTAGAAGCTCAAGCGAAGCCGCCGCTAAGAAAAGAGGGGAGACACGGATTAAGGAACACGCACATACACACAGACACACACACACTTTTTTCTTTTTCCTTTTTTTGGGGTTTTTCATTTTTTAAGGAACTTTGAATCATAACCGATCACGGCAGGATAGAGACCGTGGGTTCGACCAGCTGAAGGCGCCGCTCGAATCGGTGGTTCAAGTTCGGATGGACCAGAGCGGGGCTCCAGCGCTCGGGGGAGTGTCTGCGCCGTGACTGGAGTCCTGGGTGGCGCGGGGCTCTCGGCTCCTTTTGTGTGGGGCGCGCTCGGGCGGCGGGGCAGCCGGGCTCTCCAGGCTTGCTTGTTTTTTTCCACCCTGACTCGTTACCCCAGACTCTTCGCAGATGTTAGTTCACAGTTTTTCAGCTATGGTGAGTCCCATCCCCACCCCCATCCCTGTTTCCTTAGGAATTCTCTTCTGGAAACCTGGTGCTGCGGAGCTGCCCCAACCTCGGGTTTCGCCCTCAGGTTTCCTTCAGGGCACCCTTTTTCCATTTGCATTTCGCTCTTTCCCTCTTTTCTCTCGCTCTTTTCATTCTTTAATCGAATGCATTACCCCCCGCCCCCGCTCGACCTCTCCCGGCGCGCAGACCTACCTCGCCGCTACTTCCCCAGGCGTGTTCCTAGCCACGTTCATCCTTATTTCTTTGCGTCTTCACTTGTTCCCGAGGTGTTCTCAACGTTTGATGCTTAATCCATATGCAGGAAAAACGCTGCCCGGTGTGTCCCCTGCCCTCGGGGCCGGGGCTGAACCTCCCAGGGTTCGCACCCCCTGGAATCAACTCTGTTCGCTTGTTTGGCAAGCGAATTGCAATAGAGGAACATAAAGTCTGGCGTTTCTTCTGTCCTTTGGGGCTGGGGTGCAAGGGGCGGGAGCCTCCGCGCCGGGTTGCACCTCTCTCTTTTAAACCCAATAAGGCTGAATCTTTCTATTTTAAACCTTGACTTGACGTCCCCCCTCTCCCCATCCATATTGTAAATCGACCCTATTGAGAAAAATGCTCCTGAGAAAGCGGAAAAGACAGAACCCCATCCTGCAGTTAAAACCTTCTTTAAGCTGGTAATTTAAAGGTGTGCTTTCGTTACAGCCCCTCTACGAAATGTTTCTATTTAAATAGTCATGAAAGTGGTAATAGTCTTTGAACGTGTATGATTTTTTTTCCCCTCCAAATAAATGGAACAGAGTAAACCATAACGCAGTGGCAGGCAGGTTCAAATCCGGGGGAAAAAGAAAAGGCCGCTTCTACTGTTCAATATTTAGCAGGAATTTTAATTTTCCTTAAGGGAGGTTTCATGCTGCAGCTTAATGGGCTGTATTCTGGGATGCCTTTTTCTGTCCCCCCCCCCCACTTTGAAAGAAACGCCTAAACAGAGCCTCTCATGCCCCCACATTTGCACGAACTAATTCTCTGCGTTTTTGGAAGAAGCCCGTTTCACTTCTGGGGTACCGAAATGAACAACTCAGAGCTCATTTCTTTCGGCGGCCTGCCGACGGGAATGAACGGTTTCCCACGCAGTCTTGCGGAGTGGATTTAGAGTGGACAGATGTAACTCGACGCCTGATTTCTTGTTCTCCCCCCCTCCCTTCTTCTTCTCCCTCTCAGGACCGCCACGACGGCACCAGCAACGGGACGGCGCGGTTGCCCCAGCTGGGCACTGTAGGTCAATCTCCCTACACGAGCGCCCCGCCGCTGTCCCACACCCCCAATGCCGACTTCCAGCCCCCCTACTTCCCCCCGCCCTACCAGCCTATCTACCCCCAGTCGCAAGATCCTTATTCCCACGTCAACGACCCCTACAGCCTGAACCCCTTGCACGCCCAGCCGCAGCCGCAGCACCCGGGCTGGCCCGGCCAGAGGCAGAGCCAGGAGTCTGGGCTCCTGCACACGCACCGGGGGCTGCCCCACCAGCTTTCGGGCCTGGATCCTCGCAGGGACTACCGGCGGCACGAAGACCTCCTGCACGGCCCACACGGGCTTAGCTCAGGACTCGGAGACCTCCCGATCCACTCCTTACCTCACGCCATCGAGGACGTCCCGGTAAGAGGCCGCACGGGCGGCGCGAGGGAGAACGCAGCCCCTGTTCACCCACCCCCAGAGAAGATTAATCAGGACACACAGACTGTGGCCCGGGGTTTCCCTCAATGGCATTTACTTCTTCAAAATTCCATTTTATTTTTTGGGCGGACACTTGGAGAACCCACATAAACGACCGAATTAAAAAATTAAAAAGTAGTTGAGAGTTATAGCCCTAGAACAATGGTTCCTGGAGCTCCTTCAAACAATGCCTGCATTACCATTTCCACCGACACAGAAATAAATCAGATGAATGTCACCATTAACAATATCTGCCCCTCTCCAGGACAGTAAACTGTTTCGATTGGGAGAGGATCTAATTCCACCGCTGCGTCTGGCGTGGGGGATTTATCCCTGTCCTGGAAAAGATGTTAAATTCAACCAAAAGAACTCATTAAATACCCTAGGAGTTTAAAATAAAGTGTGAACAACATATTAAGAAAATTATTTCTACCGGATTTCATAAGCACTAGTGATGTCTAAAAGTTCTGTGTGTAGCTTACCCTGATTAAAGAATAGTTAAGTAGCAAATCGGAGCAGAGGGACATTAAAATGAAGCCTTCTTCTCCTCCTAGGGGTGCTAAGTGCTGACCTCATAAATCATTAGCTGGGTTCCCAACTCCTATCAGAACCTGCTACACCCTAGATTAAATTAAATGTTTTGAGATTATTGGGCAATACATTATTTGAGTTCTAATCCAGTTATCGATAAATGCAGTTTAAAACGATTTCTGAATAAGCATGGTATTAGCACATTTACTGTTTACAGTGTAAACCAGGCTATTGATAATTTGAAAATACTTTCTGAAATTAAATTTAAACCAGCATCTCTGTTTCAATTCTACGTATTTATGGTTTCCTCACAACCCTCCTGAAATGGAATTAGAATGAGCCAATAATTTTATTAAAGCTGTAAAGGCTCTGTTAATGCTGCTTTTCTTTGGAGAGGAAATGTATCTGGATGTGATTTTTACTAAAATGCTATTTCAAATTAGTGCATCAAATATTGCAGCAATATGTCCGTTGACAGTTTAATGATTACTGCATTAGATTGCAAAGAAAATGGTCAGATGAACTTACCTGCTTGCTTGGTGAATTTAAAACATTATTTAAGTTACATAGGAAAATAGAAAATTTATTACAGCTCTCATTTGGCCCAGTTAATCACTGAAATTTGTTGGTTATATTCAGCAGCCTTGCATGGAACGAAGGAAAGCAGGCACTTGATCCGTTGTGGGGTTTAGAAAGCATTGTGTGTATGTCTGTGTTCATAAATGTTTTTGGAAACTGACATTAAACAGTGCATTTCTTGGGAAGTAAAATAAGAGGAGCAGTAGTTGAGAAAAAGCAATTAAAAAACAAACCTGGAAGTTGTGATCATTTCAGTTCCCCTTCCCAAAGAGTCTCTGAATCCTTTTTCTAACCTGCTCTTTGGACATATTTGAATTGCAAAATGCACTGCAGCCCTTTGGAATTACTGTGAATTAGAATTGCTCTACTTTGCAAAAATTCCAAAGTGGCTGGTGTGAATTCTTAACACCTGTATAGTCACTTTTTGTGGTGAAATTAGTCAGTAGGAGAAATTAACCGAAAGATAAATAAAAACAAGGAAACCCAGTTGCTGCTCTTCCCCACCCTCCCCCACCTATTAAGAAAAAAATTCTTTCAAAGGAATTTGGGTCAGGAAAAGGGTTGTTTTCAATTTTCCCATTGCTGCAACAGTTAACCTTTAATAAGAATGACTGCTAGATATTTAAGAAAATCAAATTGATGGTGAAAATTATTTAATCATTAATATCTCAGTGGGGTTTTAAACTTAACAGTCTTCCCTGTATGGACAAGGTCTAGAAATAACACAAATAAAAGTATTATGCCACACTACATTTACTTTATGGGTTTAGGGTGCATGCATAAAGGGATCATATTTCCCCATATAGTTAAAACACAAGAACTGCAGCAGTAGTCATTTCTGAACATTTCTCAATTTAATTATACTTAAATCCAGAAGCACTTTAGGCAAGTTACAAATGAGAGCATTGAGTATAATAAAACCTGTAATAAAGCAACTTAGTACCATCCACCCGGAATCATTGCGATCAGACACAATTAACAGGAGCATAAATCCAAGACAGAATGGAAAATGTTCGAATCAGTATTATTGTTGGACAAAGACTAGAGAAGGAAGTAATAGTTTTTTAAATGGTAATGCCTGTGTTTGTTAACGATTGCGAAATCTTCTATCTCAGCAGCCCTGGTGCTAATTTGTAAACACAGCCAGACATTATATTGCCTGTCAGTTTCTGCATTAGAAAACATGATTTCATTTTACTTTCTAATCACGTTTTGACTCTAGCACACACACGTATACCCATCCATCTGTAAAAAAAAAAAAAAAAAAAAAGAGAGAGAGAGAGAGAGAGAGAGAAGGAAAAAAAAAAAAAACCCACACCAACAAACCCGCTGTTGGACAACAGGGGGAAAAAATACCCTCAGAGGTTTTTGCTTTTGTTTTAATCGTTTTCATATTTGTTTCTCACACCCAGTTTAGGCTGTAATCGTCTTTAAAAATTATTTTTAGTTTTCCATAAGTGAAGGTGTGTATACGCCTTTGCTTTTTATCACATTACCTAAAACGCTTACAACACTCCCCTGTTACTCCCGCCTCTGTCATTTCTATTGTGTTTCCCTAGCTTTTGCTGCCTCAACACTGGAACCGCTAAAGTCCGAAGCCGCTGAGGCGCCAAACTAAAGCTAGGTGCATTTTTAAAGGTTAAACTGACTTTGTGAGAAAGATTAGGTGCTCCAAAACTTGGTTTAATTTCCAAAGAAAGTTTTATTCCCCACCCCCATCTCCTTCAAACATGGATTATTTGCTGGGGGAGGAGAAATTGGCCGTGGGTGTGCAGTGAAACCTCTTGAGTTCCAAAGCCTCAAATTCCAATAAGCCAAGAAGAGATGTTTATATATAAATGTCACTATACAGGAGGGGGAAATTTTGATTCTACACCTTCCCCTCCCCCCATCTTGCACAGAATATTCATTTCCTTTTGTTTTGATTACACACTTACATCCATGTGTATCCTTTTGTTGCAGCATGTAGAAGACCCGGGTATTAACATCCCAGATCAAACTGTAATTAAGAAAGGTAAGCCATTTCCTTCTACATTCCAGGCATGTCCTTACAGGCATAGTGCTATTTAAAAGAACTCTCAGAGCTGTATTTATTTTTTTCAAATAGGATTTCCTAAAGGCTCAGAATTAGCAAATAGATGGCATAGAACAGCCATGCTTTAAATGATCGGCTTTCAGTATGTTAGTAATGGCAACAGGCTACCTTTGTTCATGATCTGACCATTTAATTTAGTTTAATGATATCTAGACAGACACATGAAATCTGTAATAGTTGAACTGATTTGGAAGTGGCATTTCAATTTTGAAATGGTTTAATAGTTTAGTTAATCCGTTGTGTAAGTGGCCATGAGTATTAAGAAGTGTATAATGCTAAAATAGTGCAAATAATTCAACATCAGTATGAGAGTTGTGTCTTTTGTACCACTCCTTAGCAGAGGAAGAAAAAAACTTTCATGTTCTTCAATTTAATTTCTCATTAGCTGTTTAAGGGTTTTTAAACTTTGTGAATTAGGTTAACAAAAATTTGGCTTTTGGTTAAAATTAGCATCTTGAAGATGTCAGGATTATTAGCATAATTGTTCAGAGCAGAAAATGTTTTTAAAAAGTGTCAAGTGATTTGGATGGATTTGTAATTTGTATTGTGTTTAGTGAGTAGAAATAAAGTTTACTGGATTAAATGCTATTCACAGCAGCTTTTTTTTGTTGTTGTTATAGTAGCAATGTTACATTGCAGGATTCTAGGCACCACCAGAGGATGATGCTATATAAAACTGTTCTCATTTCTAACCCCAATCAGTATATTGTTAGCTAGTTTAAAGTTTCATTTTTGCATCTGTGAAGTCTTTGTCACGTCAAATTAGATGTGCAAGGGATAAATCTTAAGAGATGCTCTTTCCAAGTCGACATGATAATTGGCTCTTTTATTAGTAATCTCTCAAGAGTTCGTTTAACTCCTATTGTCTCTATTAGCCTCCCCAGAGCTATTAATGTCACAAGTGATCTATCCAAAACCTAGAGCCCCCCCACCTCCCCATACATCTAGAATATCCCCATTAAGGAGGGAGGAGTACTGAGGAGAATGTATGCATATTATTATATATGTCTCCTTGTGGAGTTTTAAAATACAAATGCATACAGTACGTAAATGGTTGTGAATGCATCTGAATTATACTGGTGTTGAGAAATGTAACATGGTAGTACACTTTTTCCTGGTCTTGAATTTTTTTCTATGGTGGGGCCGACAAGGAAGAGCTTGTGATTTTGCCTAGTAAGAGTATATCCTCTCCACTTGCCAATGAAGACACTCAAGCAGACAAGGATATTAACTCTTTGCTCAACAGAAGGGCATTGATAGAGCCTATGGTAGGCCTGTTTATCTTTCTTCTCTCCCAGTTCAAAATGGGACTGTGGAATGCATTTCTAAACGGTCCTTTTTAAAACTAAACATAGGAAAGGGCCTATTTATCAAAAGGATGGGGCACTTGCCGTGTGTGTGACCAGAGAATCCACCACCTCCCAGCTTGGTGCCTTAGCTGAAATGTTCACATACAGGCCACTTCAGCCATCTAAACTCTCTGCTGATCTTTGTAACAATTTCTCCCCAACACTGAACTCCCCACCCCACAAAACCTCCAAAGTACACGTAGCTTGCTCTCGGTGTGCAAACGTAATCCCCTCCCCTGCACCCTCTGCCCGTACTGCAGCACCTCTCCTCGGATGAGAGCCCTGAGGGTCACAATTTCACTACCATTTCTAGACAGCACCCTGACGGCTAACAGGAAAGGGTCGAGGCAGAAGCACAGTCCAAGCTGGTGGGGCGAGGTGGGGGCGCCTCCCGGCCGCCGGGCGGGGTGCGCCGAGGGGATGAGGCTTGATCCCCAGAACGGGAATACAGCAGGGAGTAGGACAGAAGGTGGGGTAAAGGAACCACAGGATTTTTCAGGGCTGGAAGGAAAGTGGGGGTTGCGGCGCAAGCCGGGGCGAGAGCCGGGGTCGGACAGGACTTGGGAGGGACCCCGACGCCCACACGCAGCTTCCCCGTCTGTCTCCGCAGGCCCCGTGTCCCTGTCCAAGTCCAACAGCAACGCCGTCTCCGCCATCCCCATAAACAAGGACAACCTCTTCGGCGGCGTCGTGAACCCCAACGAAGTCTTCTGTTCAGTTCCGGGTCGTCTCTCGCTCCTCAGCTCCACCTCGAAGTACAAGGTCACGGTGGCGGAAGTACAGCGGCGCCTCTCACCGCCGGAGTGTCTCAACGCTTCGCTGCTGGGCGGAGTGCTGCGGAGGTGAGGCCCGGCACCGCCCTACCCGCCCCGCCCCGCGGCCCGGGGAAACACTGCGCCTGCGCTTGGGCGGCGACGCAGACGGGCCTCGCGCCACGGCCCTCCCTTCGCGGGAAAAGAAAGGGGCGGGGAGAAGGGCGTAAAACGGGGTGGGTGGGAGCTAGGGGCGGGATGAGGCGGCGCGCGCCTGCGCTCTCCGCAGCCTTCTCGCGCGCTCGACGTTCCGGCGCGCGCTCGGTTTCGTCGCCGCAGCGCGCTCCCCGGGCCCTCCGCCCCCAACCCAACTGCTCGCGCGCACGCGCAGCTCACTGCACCGCGGGTTCAGTCCCGGCTGCTACAGCGGCGGGGCGCCGTGCAGCCGCTTTTTCCCTCCTCGCGTACACCTTGCACGCCCTGGAAAACTTCCTCTCAGGCGCCTTACTTTGCCTTACCTCCGTGTAGGGTCTCCGAAGGTAACCCACCGTCCCTTGAATAGGGTTTTAAGTAGAAGACATTGGCTTTCTCTTGAGTCCGCCGCCCAGCCACCCCACCCCACCCCACCCCGCGTCACCGTCACCTCTGGCCAGACGGCGATTCCCGGTGCCTAAGGCGCTCACATTAGTGGTTCCCAGGTACTGCTGCCGCGACGTGCTCCAGGCAGCACGCATGACACGTGTACGTGCATTATGTGTAGTCGTTACCCACCAGTCATGTTACATACGTGGCTAGGGATACACGTCTCAGCCCTGTGAGGTCGGAATGTTTCATTTCCTAGATAAGATTTGATAAGGGTCTGCGAGGTGAAGCACCTTCCCTCAGGGCAGGTTTCTCCCTGCTTTGGGCTTCCCCCTCTTAGGGTTCCACCCAACTTTGTGAGTGGTGGGTGTTGGGTTGAACTTTCCCAGATGATCTTTTTTCCTTTCCTTTTTTTTTCCCTTTTTTTTTAAAGTAGACCAAGAACTTCACAGTTTGCCCCTTATTTATTTATTCATCAGTGGACCCATAGTCCCGCTCTGATGGGCATGTTCCACACAAAGCGTATAAAACCATTTTTGGAAGGTTTCAGACATCAGCTTTTCCAGTTGTTTTCTTCCTCCTTCACAGTCATTTTGGCTTCCTTTTGTAATCTTTCCCTGACAGATCTGAAACCGCCCTCTGCTTTTTCCTCCCCTTCCCCCACCCCCAGTATTGGAGACTGTTTACCTAGGGGAGTATAATCTAATCCACACAATTAAAGAGCACTTGAGTAGGGAATAAAATCTGAAATTAATTAATTTGCTGTTTTATTTAAACAATTTATCTTAACCACTTTCTGATTATGGGAGTCTATGTAGACATCTATTTAGAACCACCTCCATTGTCTCTGAAATCAGTGAAATTTTTAAAGGCCAATACCGGCTTTTGACATTTCCAGTTAGGCTACTGACATAGCATGTAAACAGTTGGTAAAATGAATTTCCCATTGGGCTTAAAGCCAGAGCAGGAAACGTGAGAGTGATGATAACTTTGGTTACTCTGAACAGCCTAACATCGGTTCTAGCAAAGACAATTTAAAGACCCCATTGGGATTTGTGTGATTGTAACAACAGGGAAAATACACAGTAATCAGTTGAACTCAAAAATACCTCAAACCCCAGAGATGAGAACCGTGTTTGTTTGTTTGTGGTTCTTCTTTAGAGAGTTGGGGAATCAAAACCTTCCAACCTGCCACCAGGGCTGCAGGAATAACTGAACACAGGGGGTGCCCTACAGTTTAGCCTTTGTCTCCCATGAGCTTTCCCTACCATTCCTTCCTAGGTTTCCCTCCCTTAAGTATCTTGGGGCCATGATTCTCAATTTTAAAAAAGCACATGTTAGGTTGTCAGAGTGACTATAATGTGACTCAGAGCCACCCAATGTTTTCTAAATCCCTTTCTTGCATGTATTTGTGAAACAGGGCGAAGTCTAAAAATGGAGGAAGATCTTTAAGAGAAAAACTGGACAAAATAGGATTAAATCTGCCAGCAGGGAGACGTAAAGCTGCCAATGTCACCCTGCTCACGTCACTAGTAGAGGGTAAGCGAGTCCACTTGCTAACAAGAAGGGAACTGTCTTCTGGGAAAATGGATAATACTCTGTGGCCAGATGTTTGGTTGTATTTTGTGTCAGTTGGGCAGTTTCATTTTTTTTTTTTTTTTCTGGCGAATATAGCTGGAAGGGAACAGAATCCTGGCACATCAAAAAACTATTTGCACTTACTCCTGTCCTCCTTTCTTCTTCCCCTTTGCCATAAAATTCCACCTTCCTGAACCCAATTCTGACCTAAACAAAGTGAAAATTTAAGAACTGCATATTCTCTCCAAGTTCCTGTCTCCTCCACAGAGCTCAGCAGTAAATCACTTAAGCTATTCTGACATCTGCGTTTGAGAAATGCGTGACCATTACTTCCTGAATTAATTTGGGAATCTTTGACCTGCATCCTGATTTAAGACCGTCCTGAAAGCTCAGGGTTATATGCCCTTTTAGTTTTTGTTTTCCAAACATATGCTCCCTTATCTCTTACTTAATTGTGCTTCTCTAGTGGAGGGGAAGAAAAGTGAACAATCTTAGATTTTGAATTGTTGGGCTAGGAAAGAAAAAAGAAACACAAGCCTTGCTGAAAGTTCCTCATGGCAGTTTTTAACACACACACACACACACACACACACACACACACACAAAGCTTCCAACCCCTTTAAAACAAAAGCTACCCCTGTTCTCACTCTGTGCCCTAGATACACTGTCATCAGAATCCACTCACATTCCTACTTCCTCTGGATTCCTTTTAAGTTCTTCTGATAGTAAATTGGCTTAAGTTTAGATGTGTTAGAAGGAATGTCTAAGCTGTCTTGCGTTTTCCTTTGTGTTATGTTGGAAATGTCTCCTGCCAGTGGAAAAAGAAAGACACTTAAATGATCAGGTAGATATCAAAACTACCATTTATATTTAAAGAAGGCATTTTGTCTTCTTTACGCCTTACAGTTGAGGAGATAGATCACAGTGGAATTTGGGTTCCAGCTTTATAAAGAACTGTAGTAAAGTTTAAAATCATGCACTTGAGGAGGACTCCCAGGAGGCAATCTGTGAACAGTGTTAAAGATGGTAATATAACTGTTAAACAATAAGCAGTTCTTCGGGGCCAGAAGCTCAACAACAGTAGCTTTGCATTAAAAATACCATGAGTACATACAGAACCCACTATGCATACCCCAGAAGAATTAAGCGCAAAGGAAATGGTTGAAGTGGCTTTGGGTGTCGTGTGAGAGTGTGCATGAGTTTGGGGGTTGAGTCCTGTTCCAGGGAGGCAGTTTCTGGAGAACTGTTATTGTTTGTGATCCGCTCCATTTTATGGAAACAAGCTCTGCAGAGAGGGCTTTGATGCTCTAATTGGCGCATGCGTTCTTCCGGAGCTGGAGCTAATGGCAGGAAGCCCTGCAGTAAAAACCAACTGGTTCAGGAAATTAAAACCAAAGATTCGAAAATCAGCAACACAGACAGACTCAGTGGAGTGACCCTCAAATCCTCTTGGTTAATCGGTTTGGATGAACAGATAATTATATGCGATCAAGTTAAAATGTAAACCTTTAGTTGTTCCCCTCGCAGAAAAACTCAGTGAGTAATTATGAATATCATTTATGAATGTGTTGATAGGTGCGAGGTTGGAATACAAGGAACATTTTAAAAGAGAAGTTGGGGAAATGTCATCAGGGATCAGGGTGGGTGGGGGATGGGACCGGAGGGTGGTGGATGGGATTTACATTTTCAAGTCATATTGGCTTTACTGGGACAAGTGGCCATTTTTCCTGATAAATTCATCTGCCAGATCCTACAGAGAAGGAAATAAAATGCCTGAAACGAGAAAACAAGTAGTTTGTGTTTTCTTAAACATCTGGGTTAAGAAAATAAGAGTGTTGGGAGGAAAATCTGACCTCAACTCTTTTCATTCTCTTGCGCTCACCTCCCCTCTCACCTCCTGCCAGGAGAAGCAGTCCACCTAGCCCGGGACTTTGGGTACGTGTGTGAAACTGAATTTCCTGCCAAAGCAGTAGCTGAATTTCTCAACCGACAACATTCCGATCCCAATGAGCAAGTGACAAGAAAAAACATGCTTCTGGCTACAAAGTAAGGCATTTACCTTACCTCTCCGGGGTCTCTGTCTTACTGTCAAGAGAAACAACCAGAATTGTTTCTGGTCACACTTTTCTCCTCTCTTCGTTTGGTGTTAATCAGCTTTGTTGTCATAAATAATTGAAATTACCAACACAGTCTTAGAATCCGTACTCAACCTTAAAGGGGAAATGTAGGTGGGATTCTTGGTGTGCTCCTATTCTTGTCCTCTCTTCTGCTCACCCTTTTAAGTTAAAACAAAAAAAGTGTGTATGGGGGTGGAGTATGGTAGGGGTTTGTTGGAAGCTGAGTGTGGATTGGTGACTATGTTGTTTTAGAAAGACCAGCATTGAGTCTGTAAACGGGTAAAACAGGCTTGCTTGTATCAGTTTTTGTCTCCTATCAATATGTTCTCCGAGAGCAAGGATTAAGCAGTGGCCTGCAAAATGTGCAAGCCAGAAGTTGTCCTAGTTTCAGCCTTAATCCCTTATCCCATTTCTTGCCTTTCTTTCACCTCCCTCCTGGAAAGTCTCTCTCTCTGTCTCTGTCTCTCTTGCAAGCACACAAACACACACACAGCCCACAAGTTTTAGCCTACAGGCGAGATGTCAAATAGGTTTCAGAATGGCCCAAGTTATATTCCCATCAGTGCTTGGGCTGAATAGGCTTCTCCAGGTGGTGTGTGAAAAGAAAATGACTGTTTTGATATGTTTTCTGGAAATTAAAAGGCTTGTTTGGAAGCCCTTAATTATCAAAGTTGATGTCACAGGAGGGCTTGGAACCAGAGGGCAGAGGCTGAGGCCTCAGGTGGGGCAGTGTTGTCCTGGAGACATCAGCTGGCCTTGGAGAAGGCAGCCTGCCAGTGCTCCCCCATTCTCCCTCTTCCCCACCTGCCTCATACCAATACCCCCATCCCCTCCAGACTGATGCTGCCCCAGGAAGACCCCACCTAGGCCTTGCTTCCCAGATTCACAGACAGCTTCCAGTGTACAGGCCTCTGCTGTCTGTATTTCCGACTTCTCAAGACCCTTTCTGAGATTTCAACTTTTTCTCTTCCCTTAGCTTCCTAAGCACACCTGTGTTCACAATTTTCCCTCGAAATGGGGAAATTGAAATTGAAGCATCGATTTCTTCTCAGAAATCAGTCTGAGGGGCACCTGGGTGGCTCAGTTGGGTAAGCGTCCCACTCTGGATTTTAGCTCAGGTCACGATCTCAGGGTCTTGAGATCTGTCCCTGCCTCTCAGACTGGGGCTTGGAGCCTGCTTGAGCTCCCTCTGCCCCTCTTCCTCCCCAGCACTCTGTCTCTCTCTGAGCTAGCTGTCAGTATCAGTCTGCATGTCCCCAAGTAACCGATTTTTTGTGCATTTATTTAAAAGCAAAACAATCCCAAGAAAAGTTTGCCTTTCTGTCTGCATCCGCCTGATTTGTAGGATTTCATCCCACCAACTGAGGTCTCTCTAGAACAGAGCAGGAAGCAGGTCTCTCTGATATTTTGAACAGGACAACTGATGGCTGCATGCTATTGGCTATTGGGAAATGCTTTTGTTTCGGACTCCTCATCCCTCTCCTCCTCCTTTGTTTCTCTTCTAAACATGTGCAATGTTTCTCTGTGTCAGGGGTGTTTGGTGTGAGTGAGAAAGAAGGGGGCTAGCCGTTAGGTGTAGCTGGGAACGACAGAGGGAGAATTTGTGAAGGTAGGAAGGGCCACATTCAGTGGAAATGGAGGGGTGACTGGGTCTTCCGTCTTGTGCCCCCCCCCAAGTCTGTCTCTGGGGCCTTGGGTCAGGTCAGGGTTCACTGGATTCCGGTGGAGGTAACTGCAGGGAGAAAGGTTTTCTCTTTGCTGCTCACGCTGCCCACAGGGGAGCCTCAACTCTCTCTCTCCCCGCTCCCCACCTCCCTCTTTCTCTCTGCTTCACTTGTGCTGCAGACAGATATGCAAAGAGTTCACTGACCTGCTGGCTCAGGACCGATCTCCCCTGGGGAACTCGCGGCCGAACCCCATCCTGGAGCCTGGCATCCAGAGCTGCTTGACCCACTTCAACCTCATCTCCCACGGCTTCGGCAGCCCAGCGGTGTGCGCCGCGGTCACAGCCCTGCAGAACTATCTCACCGAGGCCCTCAAGGCCATGGACAAAATGTACCTCAGCAACAACCCCAACAGCCACACGGACAACAGCGCCAAAAGCAGTGACAAAGAGGAGAAACACAGAAAGTGAGGCTGTCCTCCCTGCCCTGCCTCTCCCGCCTCACCAGTCCGGCGAGCCCACCCACCCAGTCTCCAGCCCCCTCCTGCGCAGGCAGGTGACAGCTCCGGGACCAGCGCCCTGCACCCCCTCCCCACTGCTGCTATTGCTGATGCTGCCGCCACCACCGCCACCACCTTCAGTCCCCCAGACGTTGGGGGACTCTCTGCCGTCATCAGGCCAGCACCTGCTGACTGGGCCCCCAGCCTCGAAGTCCCTCGTCGGCACCAACTCCCCTTTGCCCTCCTGTGGAGCCTAAGAGAACAGAACAGGCCGTGGAGCCAGCAAAGAAAAGTTCTGTCCAAGTTTGTGAACGATTTTTAAAAAAAAAAAAACAAAAACACAAAAAACCCAACAACTCAACAACCACCACCACCACAAAAAAGCTAAAAACATTTTTTCTAAAAAAAAAAAAAAATAAATAATAATAATAACATAAAAATTAAAAAAAAAAATACTATATGCGCTTCATGGGACTGAATCACCACCTTCCCTTACATACTTCAGATTGTAGCCATACCTTAAAAAAAAAAGGCGTAAAGGAAAATGACATTTTTATCAGTATTGTGAATAAACTTGAACACAAATACACGAAGTTCCATGTCATGTCTTCAGTTGTAGAAGTTTTTTCCTCTCCAAGGTAAAGCGACCAACTTGAACTTTCTCTGGCAACACGATTCACAGTTATATAAGGGAATCCGTGTTCACGTCTCTGTATATATTTATTTATGTGTAATTTAATGGGAATTGTAAATATGGTGAGTCTGTTTTAAGCCTCTCTTTTTTTTTTTTTTTTTAATTTATCTGGTGATCTCGTTTACCTCTTGTTTAGTGGGTTTTGAATCTTCCCTATTAGTTCTTCATGTGGTTCATGGTACTTATTTAGAAATTCAAGGTTTGGGGGACTTCTTTTCCCCCCTCTGGGATTCATGAATTTAGCCCTGTTGTAGCATGTGAAAGACGACAATGAGACAGCTGAACAGAATTTTTAAAAGTAAAATAAAATTTTATATATAATTAGTACTACATTTAGCATTTCATTGAACTGAAAGAAAAAAGTTGATATCGGACCCTGGAAAGATTTTTAAACTTGAGTGGTTTGATAACCCTTCTATGTATTGTGGGGAGAAAAAAAAAAAAGTTTATTTTATTTCACTGTCCTCCCTTGAAAGCATCATTTGAGCAATAAATGAGTATTGTCTTTAAACCAAGGGTAAGGGATTCCCCCCACCCCCACACTCTGTCTCTCTCTTTCTCGCTCTCTCTTTTTGTTCAAAGAACTTCAAACATTTGGGACCACCTGGTATTCTGTATCTTCACTGGCCATTTTGGAAGCAGTTCGAGTTGTATTGTATTGAGTTGTGCTGGCGTAGTTTCCATGCCTGTCAATGTATCATAGTCCTTTGTTGCCCAGATAAATAAATATTTGATACGCTTTATGTCGATTTTTTTTTATTCAGTGGCTGTCTTTACCCAGGCGTATTTTTGTTCTTGGCCGTATTTTTTATTCAGTATGGTTACAGTAATTGAGTTTAACTCTCCCTTGGCAATTGCTCCTCACAATAAGCAGCTGAACCCGCTGTTTCCCTCAAGTATAATAAAAACTTACTTTCAACTTGGAGTTCAGAGCAGGGTATCATTTCGATATTCCACGGAGTCTGTATTCAGACAAATGACACAATAAAACCCAATGTATTCTTTTGGATAAAATATTGTTTGTACTGCTAAAGGAACGACATACTATCTTTTCCTTACTAGAAACATTAATTTTATTATTAAAAATAAAGTTTTATTTTATTTATGTTGATCCTTTAGGTTTTCATTTGTGTTCTGGAAACCACCATATAAAACCTTCAGAACCAAACGTTAAGGATGACAAGGAAGATGGAGAACAGAACAGAAGACCCTCCCCCGCCCCCCCACCCCCACCTCCAACTACTTTGGAACCTGTCTTAGAGGATAACTGAAATTTGAATTGTTAGTTCATTAGCACAAAGGAAATACCCACTTAAACCTTTACTTGCTAGCTCAGGCTTCTCTGTGCCTGAGACATGTAAATGAGCAAAATCTAGCTCTGGTATTCTGGAAAGAGAAAAGGAATGGTGGCAGAAATGCATGAAGAGGAGAGAAAGAGAGGGTACCTTGTCTCCCATTTATTTTAGTATTTTCTTTAGGGATGAGTTCACCACTATGCTCTTCTTAGGATCTCCTGAGATAGCAGAGATGAGTGGGCAATTATGTGGATTCCCAGAATCTTTTCTGCCCGCCCTCCCTAAATGTTGACCCACCCTTTTCTATCACGGAGGGGCTCCTCCTAGGACCTTTTAGAAATACAAACCGTGGTCTGAGGTGGGATGGAGAGGATGGGGGAGGGCTGTGCGTCCTGCCTCTCCAGACTTTCCTATCTGTCTTCCACAGTAACGGGGCTGTGTGCTCAGCTCTTAGAGCAGGAAGGACTTCCTGTACGTAAAAATGGCGAATTTAGTGCTTTTATAAAGTCTGATTTGGAAAGACTTTGCTTTGGAAGTGAGGGAGATTTTAAATGGTTTTTAAGAAGAAAATGGGGGTAGTTAACTGGAAGGTTTATAGGAAAGGTCATAGAAAAAGTGTCTAGGTATACACACTGGAGGAAATTTAGCATTTGTTCATCCAGTTTGACATTCCGAAGGACTAAGGAAGCACAGCATTAGACAGTGTCCATTTTGCAGCCTTTTGCTTTCTAATCTCCTTATGGGAGGCTGTGTGAAATCAATCTCGACAGACGAACGAGAATTGGTGGAGTCTAAATTCTATTTTCCAAAGCCAGAGAATTCACAACAATGGTGGGTTTAAAAAAAAAAATTTTTTTTTTTTTCAAATGGAAAGTGTATCCTTAGAAAGCCACGCGGCAACTGTTTTTTAAAGTGGTTATTTATTATTTCCTAGAGAGACTGGTTAACTGGAACCGTAGATGTAACAAAATAATGAGGCGAATGAACCCTAACTGTACATACTCTTGACAGAAATGAAATGCACACAGCATCGTAGCAGGTGAAGTGAAGCATTGTCTATCAGGGCTGTTTTTCTTGGCTGCATCTCAGATTGTGTGGGGGATCCTAACCTCAGGCACAATAGCATTCATAAACAGCCATACATTGCTGCTCTTTCTCCAACGACACATAAATACTCATTTTAAAACGAAAACAATCTTATTAAATACCATTCATTCATATCTGGATTTACAGATGCCTGTTATGTTGGAAAACCTGAACCCAATATAATCCTTGCATCCTGAGAAAGAGAGAAAGGAAATAGTGGGTTAGAACATTACAAGGTCATAATAAACAATGGTTTCCAAATGCACAGAATTAGTTATTTTTATTCTGTAGTTGGACATTTTGAGAAGTAGGATACTGTGACTTTTTTTTTCTTTCTTTTTTAACAAAAATTTAAAAGAAGTTATATATTTTAAGGGGTAGGGAGGAGTAGAGGGGTTATTATTAAAATTTTTTATGGGACTAATTGAAGACTATATAGATTTTTTACTTTATCTGTTGTGACCAATGTGTATTTTTTAAATCACATGATGATTCTTGACAGGTCACATGTTTATATACTAACAACAGTGATTCTCTTTGGATTAACTCAAATTAGGATACATACTTGAATTATAAGGATGCTCGCTAGGCTATGCTAATTACCACACCCAATTTTTATAAAAACACAATGCTCCTTTATTACCCCTTCTATTCTCCAACACCCTTTAAAAATCACAATCCAATCCATTCCTCCCCAAAATCGAGTATTAATATAATTTGAGTTCTTGATGGAACTACCATCAGGACTGCAATGCCCCGCAGCTGAAATAATATTTAAAATAGAAAGGATTTGACATTTGAGAAGTCAGTGGCTTGAAATACCCAGTTGTACTTAGCTAATTCAGTCCTTAACCTCTGGTTTCAAATAAATCAATTACAGTCGATTCCACTTCAGTTCAGAAGTGCACAGGGTTTTAGTTAATTGAATACATTTTATTCACTTGCTAGGAATATTCATTTATCAAAATTCCAAATTTAATGTACATTTCTTTACAACTCAGGTTATATTAGGCTGCACAATCAGATCAAGTTTGCCCTGGTTTCCCCAAATCCTGCTAAAAATCTGAATTCTACCAGTCTTTATGAAACAGGGTCTCCCCGTTTCTTTCTCAATCAAAAGTAAATTCATCCTAATTTAATGGCAGGCAGGAGAGCTACTTTCCCCCACAAAGAAAAAAGTCCTATGTGGTCATCAACCTTGCGTTAAGTTTAAATAGGTTAAGAACAGAGCTGGATTAATTAAGTTTTAAAAAAGTATTGACCTGAAATTAAAAAAAAAAATGACGCATGGTTTTCATTAGAGCTTAACTTTGTTCCAGCTGACAGGTATGACAGCATTTTGTGGCCTTAAAGCCGCAGGCTCCTTTTCTTAACCCTCTCTCTTCCTCTTCCTCCTCCCTCCGGCTTTTGGAGAAGTGCTTGGACAAACAGCGAAATTGTTAACTGAAAGCAGTGTGGTTGAATGTGCCCAAATGAAGTTGTGCTTTAAACAGATTTTGATGTATGCAGTGTTTTATATTTATTGTTTATAGCATCCTGCTGGCAGCAGAGTACTGTTTGGAAAAGAAAGGGGTTAATTAGCGTCATTATCAATCACTAATGCTTGCCTAACGTGTCCAAAGAATAATCAAGTTAGAGGACGGCATGAAGCCAACAGCTGCTTCATCCCAGTTACAGATCTCCTAAGCCACTCAGTTATAGGGTTGGGGGCGGGTGGGAGGGAGGAGAAGTGAGGGGAAGAATCCTCATTGCTTGGGTAAAAGGGCCATAAAAACCGGGTCAACTCGCTGGAGATCCAAGAGGCGGAAAGTACGACATAAATAACCAGCGTTTTCATTCTTTGAGTTACAGGTACAGAGATGTCAGCGGTCCTGAGGCCAGAGGACTGAAATTTGT